CAGGCATGTAAGTTTTCCTTGTTGACCTTCGCTTCGAACTGAAAGCTATGCTTACCTTTTCCATATTCAACACAGCTCTCAGTTATTTATTCTACGAGTTTTTTTAAACCATTTTATTGTAAGCGAATAAATTGAAGCTCGTAATGGTGGTACACCATGTGTGGTAAATTTTCAGTCGCCACCCTTGCCCAAGGCCGATTTTAAACATCACGCGCTTTATCAAGCGGTGTACAAATATGTCTTGTCTTTCCTAAATCTGTTATGAAACCATCGAGTAAATTTTCTCTACCCAACAATCACTTTCTCCTACGGAGAAAAAACTACATGACATCTAATACATCGCTAGCAAATTATCAAGACAAACGCGTTTGCGACTAATGCAAATTATTCTTCGTCAGGAAGGCGCCATATTTCACTATATCATATCGATTGGACACGATAAAAATAATATGAAAATATCTATGTCTTCCAACCAACTACTTGACGTAATTATGCAGTGCTTATGCTTTCAAAAGAAATCGAAAGTTTCATTTTAGCTTCAATATATGGAGGTAATTTCTAATGTAAACACTGTATGACAGAGGTGATTTTGCGGCGCGCGGCAAAAATAACAAAGCTCTACTTCTCAAAAGTCGCGACATTTCAGACATTTTAAAACGAAAAATACTGCGTTAAAGCTAATTCTAAGCAATAAAGATGAAAAACAACCTTGCAAATTAAAGGTAAATGCTGAAACAGACAAAATTTAATTCGTAACAATTAACTTCTGCCTTTTGTCAGCATTAATTTTGGCAAGTAAGTGTTTGTAATCAATTTTGTCAGTGTTTACGCATACGAAGAACGATCTTTAAGTCTATCATTTCTGACTTGTTGCATGCCAACTGGGGCTGATCTTTGTTCCAAATGGCTCGTGTTCCGTTATACACCGAAGCTGGGTTCCTGTAACTGCTAAAATAGTTCGTCTCATTCCGAGTTAGCCGTGTAAAATGAATCCGTAGCGGGCACTGCGGTCTACTCTAGCAATGTAACTATCACTCCACAACTAGGATTTCTTTGAGGAAAAAACCTTTGCCTTTCAAATCGAGTCGGTGTTCTAGTACATTTAATTCTTAGGACGATACATTCTCGACAGTTGCCGCAAGAGAACCACTCGCGATTTCCAAGACGTGAGCGACTAAGCGGGTCGACTTTTCTTCTTGAAATTCCTTTTCTTGACTTTCTCTCAGTCTTTCTCCCCAACAGAAGTATCTCCTTCCCCTGAAGACGAGCCATGTTTCGTTTGAAACATAAATGGATGTACTACATTCTCTTGCTTGATTAAAATTCAAGTCAAGAATTCAATAGGTGGCGCCCCCATCGCCGCTGTGTTCCTTGTTTACATTCACTTCAGCAAGGAATATAATTTAGAATGTTTGACTATTGATGCTTCATAACAAAGATAGGGGATTTAAATTTGAAAATGCCGATTTTTGGAACGTAATTGTTCGCAAATAAAACGCTTTAAGCGCAAATAAATAGCCAGTTAGGACAATTCAAGCAAGGAACTTTTGATCTATGTAATATTTTTCTAGACCGTACTTTCCCATTAAGAAAAATTCTGACTTTGAAAAATGAAATATTACTTTTACCTCCTTGGGCTGATGAATAAGACACTGACAACAGAACGACAAAGAACCAGTGGTAGAGACGTTCTCTGGACGTAAAAATTCCGGCAGGAAAATGTCCATAGTTAGAAAACATGATATGATCAAAGCAGCTGTTTAGAATATTCGATCGTTCCTCCACCCAACTTCCCCTTTATACTGCGGTTGAT